GATTAGAGATTACTTACTCTATATCTCGATTTTTTTTTTTTTCTTAGGGAATGTTTTCACACTCTCGATCTTTTTTTTTTTTTTCTTCCTATACTTCGAGATTCGATGCCATCAGAAATTATTCGTAAGAATCGTTAAATCATTCATAACAATCGTAATGAAACATTTTTTTTTTTTTTTCTCCTCATACTCCATTCACTTTGCTTTTTAAGATCAAAGTTCGTGCATATCGTACTAAGCTTCAATGGAACCTCTGAAATGTTCATTAAACAATAAAATGATATAAACACCGGTGATAAACTAAAGTAGTCTTTTTCTATCGCATTCTATGGTTTTTCTGTCTTTCGTAAACGACTGACGTTTTTCCCTTGTTCTTCGTTGGTATTGCAAGTTGATATTGCAGTCGGTAAAGAGGTTGAAATTACATCGATCAATAACTGGACGAAACGAATACAAATAAAGTAAAAATAAAGTGAATACGTTACACGGTTATAATAGTTTCAGCTCTTATGAAAAATTTAGCTCTTTTTTTCAACGATCGATAAAAACGGACGAAACTATATTATCGGTCGATCACTGTTGCTGCATTGGCCAGAAAAAATGGCGCGGGAAAGCAAAACTGCATGTTCAAGGGGTTTTTGTTCCTTCATTGCTCGTTTCACACTACAACGGACGTTCGTTTCTAAATTCTATTAGTTTATCGATCTTAGCACGACTCGATTAACTGCAATCACTTTCACAGACTCTCTTTACCTGTACAGAACATTTTGTCTCGCTTGTTTCTTCCTCGTTTTGTTTAGTAATAATTGTAAGAATAACAACGACGCTACTAATTTCATCCTTTACAATTAACCATTACAGATCCGAGTTAACAGGATTATATCTAAAATCTACTACAGTTTAATAATTATATGCATGTAAACGCGCGAATAAGTTTATACCTGGGATAGTGATGGGTTTTTTTTTTTTTTTTTTTTGGGAGCAACAACGAACGGAGGTCGTATAGATTCGACAGGGATCTACATTATCGACATACTTTACATCTAATAACAATTTCAAAAGGGACCCAATTCGCCGGTAATTGCCGATCTATTTCAAAATGCGAAATATTAACTCTGTTTGAATCAATGTGAACAACAGACTTCATTTTCGTACAAGGAATAAATAATTGTTGTTTCCGGATGAACTTCCTGATGGGCAATTAGTAAATCATTCTTCTCAACGAAGATCGTCGTCTTTCGACGACAGAAGAATAAAATACACGTATATATACTATCGTATGGACGAATGTCTGACGATCCCCATGAACAATTCTCTTCACGGTTAAATGAACGGAGAAGGAAATTTTGGCTTCGTGTCCAAGATTGAGACTTCGACCTTACGACCTCCTCCGCAGGGACGAGAAGATTCATACGCTTCCCCCCCCCC